TCAACAGATTTATATGACTACAAGGACTTATTTAGTGTTTGCACTACCTAATTTGTCAGTTTGCATTTCTTTGTATAACTTCAACATTGCACAGATGCCTTATGACCTGTCAGTCATGCTGGTACCAGTATTTAAAATTAGCATGCACAAGATGCACATATGCATGTATTTTTTTTTATGAGCACAAATTTTTTAAAAATTAATGCACAATTGTGCATTTAAAATTTAATAAAAATAGTGCACAAAAAATTGTATGCATCAAAAAGTTTTAAATTTTAATGCACAAAAATATTATATAATAAATAAGTAATTTGACAAAGTTAAGCTTTTTAAAAAATTGCTATTAGTAAAACTTTATTAAAAAATTATTATATAATTATAAATATTTATTAATTTTGATTTATAATGCATTTAATTTTAAATCGATAATTTTCTAGAATATAATTTGTACTAATAGCTTTAATCATAATATTTAAAAAATAGTCATTTATCAGAAAAGTAGATTATATATATTATTATTATATAAAACTTGATTTTAATATAAAATTTTAAGCTTTAGCTAAAATAGCTAAAATAAGTTTGCTATATAGATCTTATCAAAGCTATATTTTATTAACATGTTATTTATATTAGGTTTCATAATAAATATAAATTAAACTTAGCATTAGCATTAATATTTTATAATAATTGCTAAAAAAGCAAGATTTAATCTTGATTTTATACTAATATATATTGATATGTACACTTTGCCTTATATTGCAATTAATTATATAATTAATTTAGAAGTCATATAGATTATATAAAAAGTAAAAAAAAATTTTACTAAATTCCTAATAATAATAATAACGTTGCAAAAAAAAGAAAAAGATAAAAATAAGTCAAACCTTTTATGATTTTTTAAGTATTAATCCAAATAATAACAAAATAAAAAAAACACCTTTAATTCAAAAACACTATTATGTTCTGATACTGATACAAATTCTGATACAAATATTGATACAAATATCAATACAACTAATAAAAAAGATCGGGTTGCTAAAAAAAATTTAAAATTTAAATAAAATGGAAAGAGGAATTTGATTGGTTACATTATAAAGAAAAAGAAGATGATAATAAAATGTTTTGTACTTGATGTGAAGCTGCAAAAAAAAATAGATTTACATATGGATGTGAATAGTTAAAACATGATGCTTTAATTCAGCATACAAATACACAGGATCATAGAAAAAGTAAACCAATTTTGCATAATCAAACAACAATTGAATATGAATTTAAGTATGCAATATCAAAAAACAAATTAGATATTATTCAAATTATGCAACATGTTTATTTTTTAGCTAAGCATCATTGTGCTACTTATGGATTAAAAGATTTAGAAAAATTAAGTACTCAGCAATTTAATAAAGCAAAAAATGAGGCTTTATTTGGACCCTTTGTTGGTTTAAAACAAGCACAATCAATTATTGATTCACCTATTATAATATGTTCAGAATATGGTTCATATAATAATGATGTTTTTGCACATGAATTTTTAAAAGCAATTTCATTTGTTATTGAAGAAAGTTTAAGTAATGAAATTCAAAACTTACTATATTGAAGTATTCAAATTGATGATAGCAATACAATTAAACAAGAAAAAATGTTAGCAATTGTTTCTAAACATTTATCTGATAACTATCCAGTTGTGCATTTTTTAGGTATTATTCAATTAGATGATGCAGCTGCACAACCAACTGTTAATAATATTAATCATTTTTTAACAGCAAAAAAACTTAATATAAGCAATATATTTTATATGGGAAGTGATGATGCTAGTACAATGATTAGTAAAATTTTTTAAATTATTATAGATTATTATAGCAAAACAAATTACTGTATTTATAAATTTATTTTATTATAGGAAAAAAAATATTGTTGCTGCTATTTTTAAAAAACAAAATTCTTTTCTCTTAGAACACCATTGTATTGCTCATCAATTAGCTTTGGCAGCCAAAGATGAAGTTTCTTATTTTGAAAATTACAATTCAATTGTTAATAATTTATATTTTTATTTTAGTAGTTCTTATAAATGAATGATTAATCTTCAATTAGTAAAACAAATATTTGATGATCCAAATTTAGTTCTTCTTTGAATTATTAATACTTGATGGCTTTCATTAAGTAATGTTGTATCTAACTTACATTGAATTTTAAATTCTGTAAAAACATTATTAAATGAAGATTCTTCAAAAAATGTTGTTGCACAAGACTTTATAATGCAATAGATCAAACCTTTTATTTAGCTACTAAGGTAAAAATTGTATAATGTAATATTATATATATATATTAAATTTAACTTTTTTTTTTTTAGTTTCTTGCTAATATTCTTTATGATTTGTGAAGTTTAACAAATCTTTTTCAAGCAGACTATATTACTATTTCTGAGGTTTATACACACTTAAATGTGACTATTAATACAATTACTACTTAATATATTTGTTATAATAGAATTTTACCAAATTATGGAAACTTTTTAAGAGAATATATTAATAAGCAAAATATATTATTTAAAGACCTTCCTGATTTTATTTCACAATTTGCAATTGCAACTATTGAATCTCTTCAAGATTGCTTTCCAGATTCTAAAATGCTAAATTTATTAAGAATTTTCGATCTACATAAATTACCACTACAATATAATTAAATTCATTCTTATGGCAATAGTGAAAACCAAACCTTAGCCAAATTTTATGAAAAACCAAAAAAACTTAATTAAACTAAATATTCAGCACTTATTGATGATAACTTGCTAGCTAAAGAATGAGATATTTTTAAGTATTGATTACTGAATTATCATACTACCACAACAATTTATATATAAAAAGCTTTTTTTGATTTTTCCAATTTTTCTATTCAATTTCCAAATATTAAAAAACTTGCATCAATTTTTTTAGTTACGCCTCTTTCTAATGCTGTAGTTGAAAGAGTTTTTTCTTAACAAAATTTAATCAAAACCAAATCTTGAAATTGACTTCATGTTTTTACTCTTCATATGTTACTTTTAATTGCAATTAATAAACCAGAAAGTGAGATCTTTGATTGGGAAAAAACATATAATTACTGGATAGCAAAGGATCAACATATTTAGTTTTTCATTAGAGTTCGAATATTTAATAAAAACCTTTAGCATAGGTAAGTTATTTTATTTAATTTATAATTTAATTTTATTTTATTACAAATATAAATATATATATATATATATATATTTAAAATGGTTCAATACTTATATATTAGTAAATCTAACTATACAATTTATAGTTTTTCATGAATTTAGAAATTAGCAATTTGGTATTAAGTTTAAAGTAGTTTTATATGCATAATTATTATTCAAAAAGAATATAAGTTTTAAATATGGAGATATATATGTCTTAATAGCTAGATATATATAAGGATATTTTTTTATTTTTTTTATTATATTTGTTATTGCTTATTTTTTTTCAATTTGACAGAATTAAAAGCTAGCTTAAAATGTGCCAAATAGTATTTAATAATTTTGAGTAATTGTTACTTATAATAAATATTATGAGTATCATAATAAAGTTAGAGAATTGTGTTTCTTGAAACTGAATCTGCATAGTGGATTCCGCTTTAGCTTCTTTTAATATTTTTGAATTCAAGTTTGTCTTTATTGTTCTATTTTTTTTTAACCTAAACATTAGAATATTTTATAATATATATTGTTATCAGGCAAAATGGTGAGTCAGTCACTCCATGATCCAAAACCTCATATAACCTATGGTTGGCTTAGTTAAAAAGAGGTGTTTAGATTTGGTCAGTAGTTTGGATCTGTAAATAAGTATTCTTCCTTCTTGTCTTGCATTTTCCTATCTTGAGCTTTTACTAACTTTATTTTCAATTACCTCACTACTTTGGGTAATTGAACATGACTTATAACCACACTATCTTCTGTCCTTTGGGATAATGAAACAATACAACCATAGCTGATCCTGGTACTTTAGAATACAACAGCTGAACAGGAAGGTAACAATACTATGGGAGAGAATGATACTACAGGATAAAACAGATAAATGCAATAATCGAGTTTTTATGATTTGAAAATTAGCAATTAGTTAATATAGCAAGGAAAATATTTATTATAATGTAAGAGGTCAGTTATTATTTTAATAAAGCAATATTCGAAGGGGTCTTTCCCTCTTTTTAGAGCCTTCATAGCCTTTATTTATATTATAATTCTTTATTTACATTTGGTATACTACATATGCTACAACTTCTATGTATACTGCATATCCTACAATTGCTACTTCATCCTCAATTCATACTTTC